TCAAGATTGGAGTCAATTTTGAACCGGCTTTTTAGCGTTTTGTCCTCAGGGCACTTTTATGATACACTTAAAGAGGAGTATATATATATATATATTATTCCTTCTTCTCTCTTCTCTCTCCATTGTAGTTTCGCTTCCATTTACTAACATTTCAAACCAATGCTTTCAACTCCAGCCTTTCTGCGCGGAATTCYAATTTCTTGTTAGAATATTCCGTGTATACAAAAATACGATATATATTGTATTAATATATATGTGTTTCATGTATACTTGCTTGTATTCCTAAGCTTGTTTGTCTCGTGTTAATTCACTCCAGGGTATTCACAGAAACAGGTTTCTTCTTTATTGCTTCTTGTCATATAAACACGCTTTCCTCTCCCTTCTCTCAACGGCTCTTCAGTTCATAGTAGACATTTTCTCTTTGGGGTGTTTTTATTTATTTTATTTTATTTTATTTTATTTTTTATTTTTTTGGGCTCTGATGAAAGTCCTTTTTTTCCCGCAGATCTTACCTCGTAAATCATTCTTTGGCTCATTGAAACCATTAAAATGATATCGCTTTTACCTACTGATGATATAAAAACATCTAAAAAAAGATCACTCCATTATTTCTCAGCCTGTAAATGTTAAAATGTTTGATAAAAATGATTTTCCTCGCTTAGTAGATCTGTCGTTGTTAATTTGATCGTGCGTTTGTGAACCCTACGTTTTGTTCCGTTATATTAAATATCTATCATATATCATGTGCACAAAAACATTTTGATTATTTGTAGTAGTTAAGTTTTATTATTCATCAAGTTTATTCCATGCTGTTGATACTGTTTCCCACATGGTTACGGATATACCAAGCCAGATCTCAGCCGGTGGGAGGAGGTTCAAACCAAGCGGTCACCTTTGTAAAACGACCAATAGTAAAAAACAAATGCGTGTGTYAGTACTGAGGTGATCACACTTCGACCAGAAGCGGCCACCTTTTTATATCGACCAGTAAAATGATACCTTAAACGTTTTAAATTTAACTAAGCATGCGGCTGTTATTTATCATATGACACTCCGACGAAAGTAAGAAAACAAATGCTTGTCTCGGTTGGTGAAGACACTTTGACCAGTAGCGGCCACCTTTTTAAATCGACTAGTAAAATGATACCTTAATGGTTAAAGATTTCTTATAAAACTAGTCGTTWCATAATGTTAGTGAAGTGCTGCAGATATATGCAAGACCACATTTTACCAACAGCCAGCACCAAGATACTTGAAAACATTCATCAACAGACTACTAAATTTGACAGTGTACATGTGAATGAGCTCGAGGGGCAGCATAGACGCTCAAAATAACCCCACAAAGTATCCTGCAAACCACAACGAAAACGTGCTTTCGACGTAGTGCACGTTTCCTCTWATRAAGAACTCCGCAATCCATATTTACTGCAGCCGAGCCGAGTATTTACCGAGCATTCTTCGAAGACACAGTACGACACGACCGATGCCCGAGCATATTCCGAGCATTCTCCGAAAAATCCGGCTGGACCGACGCCGTGATCCAAATTCGAGATTTTGCTCGCATATAGTCCACAGGGTCCTAACATGCAATAACTGTTGTGTCGGGATTAGTGTTGCTGCTCGTCTTACGGCTTCGCAGCAATAATTGGGATAGTACGCGCGCTACGATTGGTCGAAAACCATGTTTGATGAGGGTATCAAAACACGCTCGCGTCATCCTTTACATCAGAATAATACGATATTTTTTTCGTTTTTTGGCGTGTTTGTTATTTCATAAAACAGATTAAAAAACAGTTTTCCGTGTTTGATACTCTGATCAAAACACTTGGGGTGTTGAAAGAACACTCGAGAAGCTCGAAACCACTCCTCTACGCGTCGTGGTTTCCTACGCTCCTCTCGTGTTCTCTCAACATCCCAAGTGTTTTGATCAGAGTATCAAACACGGAAAACTGTTTTTGATCTGTTAAACTAAGCATGCGGATGTAGTTATGTGTGCCATTCCGACCAGGCGCTCCGACCATAACGACCAAGACCAACGTTTTACTAATCATGCTGGTGTTTTGAATAAAGAAAAGATCTATAGACCTATAGACGACCAAATAGAGATAAGGCTAATCAGTAAAAATAAAATGCGATTGATTAAATATCTCTGTTGATATAAGCCAGCAGGCCGGTTCGAGTCTGTTACATTGTATTTATTCGTCGTGTTTATACACACGTATTGTTAGCTACCTTGGTTGTGAGGTCATCAGCTGTCTAATGACATMATTCCATGCGTGGTGTAAATATCTCATCACCATTTGACAATTGAAAAGTTATGTTGCGATGCGTGTGGTCTCTTTAGGGAAGAACGGGTGACGTAATGCGCTTGTCTCTGCATCTCACTAATGAGACACGGGTCCGACTACCGGATATGGTGTCGTAGGTTAGTAGAGTTGTTTGCTGGTTCTCTCGAGCTCCTGGGCTTGGAGGGTTTTTCGTTTTTCTTCGGGTTCTCCGGTTTGGGAAGCACGGGTGGCGTGCGCTGCTAATGCGCCGCCTCTCACCAATGCGACYCGAGTTCGAGCCCCGCCGTGCTCGGTTTCGTATGTGAGTAGAGTTGTTTGTTGGTTCTCTCCTGTGCTTCGAGGGTTTTWCTCCGGGTTCTACGGTTTTCCTCCCTCCAAAAATCAACTTCTAAAATTCCAATTCGATCTTGGGCTTTCACCTAGCATGGATCTGAGGGTTCCGTTCGTGATTGTCTCACTCTGTGATTACAGACAAAACTGGTAGATTTTTTTTCTCCCTCAGCAAAAATCAACTTTTAAATTCCAATTCGATGTGAATTCGATAACGGAACGAGGCGACAGGTATGTATGTGTCGCCTGGGATGCTTGTCAAGCAGATTATCATAATTGATGTAACTATTGCAAACGCTCAAAAATCTWAAAAAAATCCAAATCACTCACACTATTGCGCGCCAAATAAAGTCATTTTGTTTACAAAGTAGTTAGTGTCCATTCTGTGATTAGTGCGCATGTCCAGCGCAGGGCATTATGGGTAGGATATTACAAATCGCGGCAAARGCAACGTAAAAGATAGTAGTTTCTCGTTACCTCTCAGATCCACGTCTTTTCTCATTCAAAGTTTTATCTCGGAGTATCAATCTCTTTGATTTGATAGTCTTTTTCTTATAATTTGTCAAATAAGGTTTTAAAAATCTCTTTGCAAAAACGTCTCTCGTGCTTTCGTGTTCTACAGTTGCCAAAGTCGAGACTAAAGAGAAACAAGTTTATTGAACGAGTGAGACTTGATTTAGAGAGGGGCACACTTGAAGGTTRCAACTAAATGTACTGATAAACTGGTAGCCATCATCGCCTAACGTCTTTAAATTTGCGGGTATACTGTTTAACGTAGTCAAAAGAGAATCATTTCTTGGATGAGTAAGATTGTTCTGTTTTCCTGTAGCGCTAGAAAATCGGAAATTGAAACTTAAACTTGAATTATCGAGCACTTTCACACTACACTTAAAAGGAGTGCAGAGAGTAGCAAGAGAAAATTATTGTAGAATTATTTTTAAGTGCTTATCTCGTTACATATCATTGTCTCTGTGTGGTTTTACTTCCTCTATAATGAACCAGCRGAACCTGCTTTTTGTTGGGTACTCTTACTAAGATGCGAAAATCAATCGTATTGTCAATAACTCATCTCTTTATGTAAGTTCGCAAAGCATTCAAAAAAACAAAACTCTTAAAAATGCCAAGTAATGGGGAGTTTACACGGCTAGTGTGGCATTTCTAAATATTACTTCAAGGCCAACAAAAATATCATGGCTCTAAAGAGCATGTTAAAGTTCATTGTCAATGTGAAGAGTCCAAAGAAAAGGACCCAAGTCAGCAATGACCAAAGATTGCCAACTTAATAAGAATTGTCCATATTAAATGTGCAAACTTTGGACTTCAATGAAGTGGTTTCATCTCGTATTTGCTAAATCTAACAGCTGGATTTKTTAAGGAGTGATTGCACCTATCTTTAGAGTTGTTTAATTAACAATTTTATTGGGTGCAGATATTTTGGTATATCAAAAAGTGAGTGGAATCGATTGGGTACGATTATTCTATTGGTCTAAATGAGTTTTTCTTAATTAGCAGCAACAAACTACTTGATATGACGCTTTGAAGGTGGAGTTAATTTTAATATGTCCGGAAGAAAACTTATTCAATAAGTTGGTGAGATCAATACGCATCCTATGGCTATTTACCAAACACTTGATCAATACCAATAGCGCGAATGGGGAAAATATGATGAAATTAGAACGATTTGAAGCGCTAAAAAAAGTCGGTCAAATTTTTCATTACTGAATCTTGATCAATACCAATAGCGCGAATGGGGAAAATATGATGAAATTAGAACGATTTGAAGCGCTAAAAAAAGTCGATCAAACTTTTCATTAATAAAAAGTTATGGCAAGGAAAGATTTGTTCTATTTTCTAACTTTCGGGATTAATTACTGAGCTTGGGGCGTGCATAAGACCAACTAGTCTCTCAAGCGTTTGAGTCCAATTGGACTGCGCAGCCCACAAAATTACTCGCCTACCACCCTACAAACAGTGTTTTGTGTTATGTTCAACAGATCAATACCTAACTTTTTCTACTTGATTTGAATGTAAAGATCAAGGCATAAAAACTCATATGCCTTCTATTAACTTTTTTAATTTTATATTTTAGTTTTAGGATTAAATCTTGCCTGCATTTCGTTTCTCCTGTGTCTTTTTTAAGTTCCTTAATAAGCTTTGAATTAGTATTTAATAAAAGGAGTTATTATGTTGGCGTTGGACAGTTGGAAGAGAATTGTTGTTTTAGAGTCCTGGAGTTTGAGACTGTTGAATTGAGAACGCCAAGTCTCATACAATTATTTGTTAGCATCCACTTGACGCAACACGCCAGCTGGACACGATAACATTGCGTAATTACAGCAATGAACCTATAAAATAGGGCTCTTTTTTCTTCTTCTTCGCATTCAAACAACTGCAAGTCTCACCTCGAAAACAAGATCCTATGTGTGAAGAGTAAGACCTTACAAACCAACAAGATGAACTCAACTAAGCAAGTATTCGTCCTGGTAGCTTTGCTGCTAGTACTGTCCATGTTTCTTGACGGGAACGAAGCGTCCGTGGCTGTTCCTGGGTCTCCGTTTGGAAAGCGAGGCGGCGCAAGTAAGGTAAAGCAAACAATGTTTCATATTGTGTCTCTTTAGAAGACGCGTGGATGAGTCTATAGACCCACCGGCCACGCCCTTTTCGTGTCATAAGGCAGCAGAACGACTAAGGCACAGATTAAGTTGAACTTAAGCTCCACGCCCTCTTCTCCCGCTTTTATGTAACATCTATTAGTTCCACAATCAGTACTCACTTTGCCTCCGCTAGAGTCAAGTCAATCATGAGTTTATCGTTTCCTGCTTTAATGAGAGCACATTCMATGTTACTCCTTGACCATGGCCATTTTTACTCGTTTTTCCTCATTCGTTTAATGATATCCCTTGGAGTAGTTATACTCTTCAAACTGGCACTTGAAGTCGAATTGTTCCAATGATGGCACACGGTGCCCTGACTGTTAWTGTCAGAATATCCCTTAGAGTAATCGTTAGATATACTCTTCAAACTGCCACTTGAAGTCGTATTCTTTCAATGATAAGCACAGGCTGTCGTTTTATCGCACTTGTCTCCGTATGAGGCATTCAGAAATTAAGCGACATTTAGAAGAGCTAAATTATATACACAACAAAAAAACGGCGTGAAAAAGTATAAAGTGGATTTAAAGAGCAAGTGTTGTAGATAATGYGTTTTTAGAGTTTTGTCAAACTTTTATCAGGTCGACCACCACCAGACCATCAGGTAATGTCATTATTGGAATCAGCCAATCAGCAAGCATTTTGTTCGTAGCTCAATATCGCGGTTTTTATAAATCCACGGTTTTCGACTCGGTAACAGTTTATCCTCATAAGCAAATAAAACTCACGCAAGAAAAAAGTGACCAAATACTTTCTACAAATTGTTAATGAGATATGTTTTGTGTGTGTGTGTGTGTTTTATTTTGTTTTGTTTTTTTGTTTGTTTTTGTTTTGTTTTGTTTTGTTGTTTTTTTGTTGTTGTTTTTTTTTTTTTTTGATGATGAAAAAAAAAATTGAAAAATTAGAAGTAGATATTAGGGAATTTCTTTTTGACAATTAACAATGCCATTGCACTCTTAAATTCGAAGTCACCTATTTTGTATATTTTAAGGAGGGTTGGRAGTTCGAGTATAGTTCATGAATTCTATTATTTTGAAATATCGAAAGTGTGCTTTTTTCAATCTGCTCACTCATTCTGAAACGTTAAGTACACCTATTTCAAAAAACATTGTCGGTTTGAGATCTAAAATCACCGATTAACACGCTGCAAATGTAATATATTCACAGTTGAACAACATAGTTTCCTTTTAGATTGGAATATGAAGCATTACCATTGAGTTAGGAATGTGATTTTTCGTATTTTAGCCAGAAAACATAAAAGCACAAAAATTCCGTCTCAGATCGCYCATTTCAGGAACCTCCGACCGACAACGTCTTTAAAAATAGGTGTGTACGGTTCGCAGCGAAATCTATGTTTCGCAGTTGGTAATTTGTATGGTTTATCTATTCATTGTTTCTTATTCCCCTTTCCTCTTCTTTCAGGCAGCTTCTCGTGCACATGCGCACATCTGTGAGGCAGCCAAACTCGTTCAGTGTCAACCAAACGACGAACCTGCCCGAACAGATATCGATTGATAACCTTATCAGGCCCTTGGTTGAGACCTATAAGACACAACACAAGAGAAACTCGGTTAATTGCTGGCGATTAAATAGTTAGCTGGAATCTACTAAGGCTATGTCAGCCATGATAGTTTGTCCAGTGGAGTAGCCTGCTGGTTAAATAAATATTGTCAGAAATGAAAAACGAGTAGTCGTTTGTTGAATCCCTTTAGGACAAACATCTTTTTTACCTACCGGACGGATGGACGGATTGGTGAATGGATGGACGGATAGATGGATGGATGGATGGACGGACGGACGAATAGATGGATGGATGGACGGGTGGGTGGACGGATGGAAGGACGGGTGGACGGATGGATGCCATTAGCAGAGTTTTACTTTCCTAACTTCCCCCCATTTGGTTGTTAAACTCCTGTTATTCTCTTTTTCTTTTCTTCCTTCCGTTTCCTTTACTACTTCTTAATTGCAATTCATAAATGACTCATTCTCCGCGGGCTAGATGACTTTTTAGGGCTTTTTGCGTTCATATTCCTCATATGACCTCGGGCTTGCAGCTTTTTAACTTTAATTCTAACGAAAAGTCCTTAAAAATACGTATTTACGATCTTTTAATTAAAGGGATATTTAAAGTGTAATAATAAAACTGCCTGGAAAGTTTGAGGAATATGTATATTTATAGAATTTTATTTTCGAATATCTTGAGTTCAAAATATTTGTACAGTCCTGCAGAACTGCTTAGGGTTTTTTTTTTTTTTTAAAAATATATATTTTTAATATTTATCTTAAACTCCTTCCTGAATGGCGGATCGTAAGCTTATTTCCGAGTCAATATAGAATTTWAAAARTTACAAAGCTAAACAAAATCAGTTTACTTCAAGCTGCTTTAAAGACTTGRACCTTCCTCAAAGGGGCCCATGAATTCTATTGAAAACCCTATCTAGTGTTGATAAAACGTGGGCCAGCACAAGATGAGTAGATCTGGATTTTCGTCTCGTCTCGTCTCGTCTCGTAAAGGCTTTTGAAATAAATTATTTGTTCACCTGTTCATTTTAAATTTTTTAACTAGTTTTTGTTTCTATTTCTTTCCTCGTTCTTTTCTGTTATTCTTTTTATATATTTCCACTTAGTCAAAAAACGGGTGATACAATAATAATACAAGCTTTTTCTCGATCGTTGTAGCTTTTTTAAAATCTTTCCTCTACCTATGCTCTTCCTTTCCACTCAATGAAGCTGCTGTACTTTGAGAGAGTCGTAGTTTCGTCCTATTCTGCAAGTTTAGTCTTTGCCGTATTCTGCAGGTTTCAATTTATYCTTTTATTTTTAACTCACTCCACTCCACCCTTACGGATGCTTCTGACGGATGTATAACTACATTCACTCTGAAGCGAAATTACTTAGATAAGTTATAATGGTTTATTGTCAAAATAATGTGAGGAAATGGCCCATTGCACGCCTATAAAGGACAATATAGATGGATCATAAACGGTKCGTTGTGCGAGAAAGCGTGGGGAAATCCTACAACTGGCTTGGCCTTTCTTTCGTCCGCGAAGTAAAGTAGTCGGGAAATCTTCTAAAAGTATATGAAGGACCCACTGAACAATTTGTCTTCGGGCTTTGATACGCCCAGACGTTGTTTTAGGGTTCGATCAATGAAATTTAAAGTGTCCATAGTTCCACAGATATTAAAGTAATACAATTCCTTAAAAGTAACCGTTAAGAAAATGCTCGTAACGTACAAGGAAATAGCCCGTGGTATGAAATGGAAAATTTATCTTTTTTCTTTGGATTCAATATATATCCGCCCCAAACCCTATTGCTCTCTTTCGGTCAGCTTAATTACGGCCCCTACTAAACTGAAATGGCGAAGGGCTGTGTTCTGGGTCTAAAGAATTAGAGATGACAAATATTCATGTGCATTGATTTTGACTTCCAAACTTCCGTGTTTAATTTAGTTCTTTTCTAATAGCGTTCCACACATAGCTTGGTAGATCTGCTCTTATTTACCTAATTAAATACCCAAGTCGTTAAGCTAGTGTTCTCAGTGTTTTGCATTAAATCTATTTTTTCTGCTCTTTAAACGTTTTATGACTCTTATGAGTCATAATTCTGAATGACTCTCACTGGCATTGATTACCACGAGAAATGGTATAAAAGTCAGTTCATCTGAAGATCTGAACGCGTTTACCATTAAGTATAACAAGACAGACGAGTAACATGGCCTGTGGCAAGAAAGTTCTCATCTTTGTTACTTTGATAGTTGGATTGTTGGTGTTCGTAGATAAGAGTTCTTCGACTATGCCCGTGCCCGTGCCTGGACCTCCTTATGGTAAAAGAAGCAGCATCAGTAAGGTAAGAGAGAGGAAAGTATAGCAAGCAATGTAATGTATAGGGGAATAAGCTATAGCATTGTTGTAAATRAGGTAAGAGAGAGGAAACTACAGTAAGCAAGGGAATGCATAGTGGAATAACGCATAGCATTAGTGTAAACGAGGTAAGAGAGGAAAGTATAGCAAGCCATGAAGGGAGCGTCGTAGATTAGACGTAATGCAACTACCGAATTCGTACCGGCAACACTTTAAGTCGCAGTTCTCTATTTTTATAATGAGCAATTAAGTATAATATGCATGTATGAGCCATAACAACATAAAGCTGCTCTTTATTTTACGCTGAACTGTTTAGTTCATCTTGGAGCTAACTCAGCTAAGCTGTTCGTTTGTACTGCAGTACTAAAGTTAATCATTTTAAAATCAAAAAGTTAAACTAATGTCATGTCTGATATTCTACTTCGCTTGTAAACTAGATAACCTTAAATTAAGCTTGTTAACTTTACTTCTCAAYTTTTTATATCCAGGAAAGTGTAGACTAGAAACTTACGTAAGAAGCAAACGTGTCTTGTCACGCGACTGATCGAAGTCGCATGGGCTTGAGATTATGGGATTGATAAGGCTGTCCAGAGAAACCAGAGCTATTTTTCTTGGATCAATTTATTTAAAAGCATAGGGCTATTCTGTACCTGTAGTCATATAAAAATGGGTAGTTTTGAAGAATAACTTAACTTTTAGGAAATCTTTCAATTTCTTACTTTGGAAAATGTCATTATTCGTTTGATATGAAAAATATATATATATGCAAAACAGACCAAATTAAAATATGTTTCAATTTGCCGGTAAAACTTTAGACTTATTATTTATTTTTGTTTTTATAATTCAGTGTTGTTTTTTTTTAATGTATTTTTATAGGAAGTCCGTCTTAACATCTGCAATGCAGCAAGACTCGTGCAATGTTTGGCAAGCGATGGGCTCCGAATGGATATCGATTAGCGATGACACTTCGATCTCCGATCCGATACATCACGATGTTTACCTTAAAAATYACCAGGAGTTGAGAAAAACACTTTCATCGCAACCTATTGGTTATTAGCGATATTGGATAGACATTAAGGATAACAAGGAAACATGTAAAAAATACATTATTAGTTTGTGTTGAGTAACATGGAATCCAATAAAATGTTGAAATACTTATGAATGAGTCTAGATAATGATAATGATYTATGATTTATATAGCGCCCTTTCTATATGGATGTAATCAAAGGCGCTTTACATTGAGTTGTGAATGACAGATTGCTTTTATGCAATTCACAAGCATGAGAGATGGTTAGTATGAAGTGTAGGCACTGAGAGTGGTCACTGCCAGGGTTTCTTTACGTCCTCATTGCTTTACTAAGGAATTAAAACAAAACAGCGATAATTACAGCGACACTAAATGCAACGACAATGACAAGAGACAAACTATTTTGGTGGTAGCCAAGAATTTATAATTATTCATGATTTTGTTTGCTTTTTAGGTCTGCAAATTAGCAGCACATCAATCTTCCAATGTCAAAGAAATGGATAGTATAGTGAGCCCCAAACGAATATCGATTAGCGATGACACTACTCCRTATCAAAAGTGCATGGTATCGTGGATAGATAACGATAAGAATAATAAAAAATTAAGAACATGAAATAAACCACTATTTTTAATATTAAGCTCGCGTTTAGTAACCTTGACAAGTACATGATAAATAATAAAATAAGCCTTGCAGGTCTTATGGAAGAAAAAGTTGTATTAATTGGTTAATAAGGAAAAATTTAAAAATTGACTCAAAATCCACCTACTCCTATTATGAGTGATACTCCATGTAGCGTTATATAAATCAGCCAGAAACGACTGGTCAAAAACATGAATTTCACACCAAATCAAATGTTCGATTCTTAGGATTTTTGTTGTTGTTGTTGTTGGTGGTGGTGGTGGTGGTGGTGGTGGTGGTGTGAAATACATGTTATTTAACAGGCTTTCCTCGCTTTCGAAACACTTTGAAAGCGCTTGAAAACAGCCCAGCTAACTATACGCGATAACGCCAACGTCACCTGTAACAGTCACACTTTAAGAGATGCTTTTGTGGAAACAAAAATCGAAAAAAGTAAGGAAGAAGAGAAGAAGAAGAAAAAAGAAGAGAAGAGAAGACGAAAAGAAGAGAGCCAGACGAGAAGAAAAGAGAAGGAAGAGAAAGAAAAGAAAATCAAAAATACCACTTTAATAAAGTGCTATGATCTCCACTGAAATGAAGCTACTTTTCAAAGTTTAAACGGCTAGTCTGGGTGTATATATAGTCGTGTATGGAAAGGTAATG